GATGCTAGTCCCCTGGCCGTGCACTCAGGAGCCCCGCCCGGGTGTCTGTGGGGTCTTGGGTCCCTTTATTATCACCCCTCAAGTCTCTGGGGTGTTAGGACCTGAGCTGCTCTATCTGGAGACAGACCAGGGAAGGCAGGCGCCGCTGGGCGCCCCGGGGATCTGTAGACCAGTGCTGTTCTCATCCGTTGTAAGGACCAAGGGAGGTATCCTCACACCATGAGAGAGAGATGAGCGCTGCATTTCTCTTCGCCACACTGAATGCCAATGCGTCTCGTGGTTTAGACAGTCCCTCCGGTCCTGAGCAGCTGGGTGGAGAGTCCCTTCTTAGATGACCTGCGGCTAAGCTGCCACAGCGGAGCTGACGCGGAGGGTGTTGTGCGCTGCCTGAGGGCGAGGACCTCAGTGAATTACCTCTGTGTTCCCAGGAGCACAGTCGAATGCCTGGGAATAGTAGGTGCTCAATAAAATGTGTGCTGAGTGAGTGATGACGGCAGTGCATAGATAATGGGAAGTGGCAAGCAGCCCTCCCATGGTGATGACGGACACCAGGCTTGGCCCCGCCCACCCTAACACAGAGGGAAGAAGACTTATTACATTAGGATAAGGAGGCAAGTTTTTGCTAGGATTCAGCCATTATTACTGACGTTTTAATGACTGAGAGGAGAGAAGCCAGACCCATTCTACGGACACCCCCATTCTTCTGCATGAGCCAAGAATGAACCATCTCCGTTCTTTGTGTGCCCCACGGGAAAAAGCAGAAAGAAAACACTGCAGTCAGAGATATTCTGTCAGATCCAGGTTTGCTGTTCACTTTAATCACTTGATTGAGAAAGAAAAGCTGTGAAACCCGTTCACTGGCCCTTGCTGGTGTGGCTCAGTGGATAGAGCGTCACTTGAGGGCAGAAGGGGCCCAAGGTCAAGATCAGCTTCCGGACGGTAGATGTGTCCCATGTATTTTGTGCGGAGCACAGGCCGCAGCGCGGTGGGCAGAGCATGCAGATGTGAGTGTGTGGGGGACAGTCAAGGCTGGGGGCTCCCGGGATGACAGGGGGTCACACCCAAGAGACTTGGGAGCCTCGGAGCTATGGGCTTGGCGGTGGGGAGTGAGCAGGAGGCCTGAGTCCGGTCTGGCCTAGAGCCCTGCACCCGTCTAGGCAGCCGGCTCGGGGGTACCTGCTCTTACAGGGCATGGGCACGGCCCACCAGGACCCAGCGTGACAGCCATCGGCACAAACCACAGTGACTAAGATGCCCTAACCTTGTCTTTGCTTCTAGGAGAGTGGACGCTCCCTGTCTCTCCCGGGAAGACCCGTCCCACCCACCGTTTCTGCAACACCTGCCTGGGCGCACC